TTGAGCCCGAGTGCCCAAACCGCAATACATGCCAACTTTTTTTTACTGTGTGTGTGGGGGGTAGGGGTACTGTGTGTGTGTGTGTGGGGGTAGGTGTGTGTGGGGGTAGGGGTACTGTGTGTAGGGGTACTGTGTGTGTAGGGGTAGGTAAAGGTGTTTAAAAAAAAAAAGTATGCTAAATCATTATCCCTTCTTCTTACCTTTAATGAAGGAGGGGGGGGGGAACACAGCCATCCCTGGTGGTCTGGTGGTGGTAAGTACTGCTTCCGGGTTGGGGGGCAGGGGGAGGGATCTGTGAAGCAGCTCCCCTGTCCTCCCGCGCAATGCTGTGTGGAGCGTTGCCATGGTAACGCATGGCAACGCTCCACACAGATTGCTCGCGGGAGGACAGGGGAGCAGCTTCACAGATCCCTCCTCCTGCCTCCCGACCGGGAAGCAGAGTAGGCGCCTGCCTTTTTGGGCAGGCAGGTGCCTACTCTGCATTGATGGCGAACCTACGGCTGTGTGCCCACAGAGGGGGCCCGGCGTGCCACCTGTGGCACGCGTGCCATAGGTTCGCCATCACTGCTATACACTAACCATTTACACACACTATACTACAACATTTACACACACTACATCCTTACACAAACATACATTCTGCAGTCACTACACCCTTACACAAACACACTCTACATTCACTACACACACACTACATTCTTACACAAACACACACTCTGCAGTCACTGCAGTCACTACACACACTACATCCTTACACAAACACACTCTGCAGTCACTACACACACTACATCCTTACACAAACACACATTCTGCAGTCACTACATACACACACTTTTCCATCACTATGTACACTACATTTTTACACAAACACACACTCTGCAGTCACTATGCACACTACAACCACTACACAAACACACACTAATTATTCAGGCTGAGAGGTAATTGCTTGTCCAATTGGATAGGTTTACTGCAGCTTCATTCTCATTATCTGCTTTAGCTGACAGGACATGGTGGGGGGATCCAAGCTGTATGCTTCTCCAGATTGCCTGACAGATTTGGTCGAATCAAGTTTCAAAACTCTCTCTCTCCACTTCTGGATGCTTGAGTCCCCCCGGAGCGGCCATCTTAGGCACACAGCTCTGCAGGGTAATCCCCTGCTGCAGGTAGTAGTTTAGCTCAGCAGGGACCGGGATGACCCCCCACCGGTCCATCCCGGCATCATGACAGTTGCCAGAATTGATGTTATTTTGAAGTCAAAGTGTGATATTGATTTGATTAAGATTCATCTTCTGTTCACTCACTTAGCATTTTGTTAATTGATCAAAATAAACTGTTAATATTTCACATTATAAAAGTGTTACAAAATCTTGCATACTCACTCAACTATAAGCTAGCTTCTAAGACTACACAAATTTACATTTTAAAACAATTGCCAGGCAAAACGTGTATTTTTATAGGCCTAAAGCTAGCTTTTAGTTGAGTGAATGTGCTTGATTTTGTAAGCTTCTTGTTGAGTGTATATTGGTACCAAGAGCACATTTATAATGCACGCTATGTTTAGGAGAGTGTAGCCCTTCTGGTTCATACATACAATAGGCGGAATTGGTTGGTTCTTGGGTAGATGGTACTAGATGATATAGAAATATATAGCGATGCAAGCTGAAAAAAACAAGGGGGATAACCAAATCCTAGTGCAATATTTTCAAATACAGAAATATGAGTAAAGAAGCAATCTCTAGTCTTGTACTCACAAGAATGGAGCCAGTATCACTAGGCTCAATGTGTAGGTATGTGGGAATATTTGTGGGGATACCACTCCCTTTCTGTGCATCCGTCGGTTTCACACCCTCTGGTCCACCTCACAGATCTACTGGACGTCAAGTTAAGTGCAAAAATTATGTTATTGATAACAAAATAAAACAAATAGATAAAATCGATATAAAGTCCGTTTCTGTTGTTGCAAGACACGTTTCGCCTCTCTCATAGGCTTCCTCGTTGCTTGTGATCTCTTTGGTTAATCAATCTTTTATATGTCCTTGATTGCTGGTTATTCATATCACCCAGTGTCTTTTTTCAGGGCTTCCATCTTCTCCATAAGACGTCAGTCATCCCAACGCCTTCTTTTGCTGTATTTCCTGTGTATCCGTATTTGGAACGCATCTATGCGTTCCAATCTTTGAATAACATTATTGTCCATGCTCTGTGGTATTAGGCTGCAATCCTGGCAGTCTCTTTCGTATAAATACATTGAGTATTTGGGAGTATAATAGTAAAAATCAATACAAAGTGCTTAGAAGTTTCAATGGGACTATTAGATATGTTAATATTAAATGTAAAAGTGATGACAGATGTGCATATTAACGCATAGTTGATAGTGACTAATAAAAATAGTACTATTAGATAACTAATGGAATAGTAGAGATAGTAACTAATAGTCAATATTAGACTATAAAATAGGATGGAACAGATGAATGTTAATAGGCTTAAATTAACATATAAAAGGACTCTCTCCCTATAATAGGAGGTTGGGGGGTTATTTGGCATCACTAAAATGTATTTACAAATAAAAATAAAAATATATACAAAATGTTCATGTGGATATATATAAAGAGAAGGGGAAAAAATATATAAATACAATACTAAATATAAAAATATTAATTAACTAATTTAATAATACACCTTTGTAAAACTTTTTATAAAAGAAGTAGGTGTTGCCTTCTAGCTTATCTATTTCAAGAAATGGCATATGTCTGAATTAAGTCTGTGTGGGATGAGGGTATTAAGATGAAAAATATATTTCATTTCCTCCTTGCCTAATTTATCAATAAAATCCCCATCTCTCCAATCTTTTTTTCACTGCTTTTAAGGCACAGAAAAATAGGTCTTTTGGGTCCTGATTATGTGTCTTCTTAAAATGTTGGGAAACACTATGGGTTTCTAAACCTTTTTTAATGTTTCGTATATGTTCAGCTATCCTAACATTAAGTGGTCGAATGGTTCTGACTATGTATAAAAGATTACATGGGCATTTTAAAACATTTGACACCTTTTGAATGGCAGGTTAGATGGTCTTTGATGGTATGCTGTTTCCCTATAATGTGGCTTGTGTCAGTAAGGTGTCTCTTGTGACTCTTTGTTTCCCTACATGGGAGGCAGTTCCCACATCCATAAAAACCCAAAAGGTCTTTCAAAAAATGTCTTGGTTTCTAGGTCTCTAAGCAGCTCTTAAATAGAATATTTTTTAGATTTTTGGTTCCCCTGTAAATAATTTTAGGTTCAGGGGGTATGATTTTATTTAGAACCGAGGTCATCCTTTAAGATATGCCAATGTTTTCTTATGGCCTGTTGTACTTACCTGGTGTTTCCATTATAGTTACAGATAAAGGGAATTTAATTTCTTCCTTGGGATTTATTCTTTTGTTTGTATATAAGAAGTTGTTCCCTCTAATGTTTCACCTCTTCTAGGTTCTTCCTGAGAGTTCTTCCTTCATAACCTCTCTCCAAAAATAGTTTCTCTAAGTGTTCAGCTTGTTCTACATAGTCATTTTCCTCCGTACAGTTCCTTCTTACCCTAAGGAACTGTCCCCTTGGAGCATTCGTTTACCAGGGTTTATGGTGACAGCTGGTTCAGTCTATGTAGCTATTCGTGTCCACAGGTTTGAAGTAGTTCTGGTTCATGTATACTTGATCTGCCCAAGATTAGGAGGATCTAGTCTTAATATTTGGCACCTGCTGCCATTTTAATAAGAGCAGCTGACATAGTTTAAATCATTGAACACTTATTGTTTAAAGTTACTTATTGGTATGGTAGGTACCTGACCCTCCAAGTCAGTTGTCTAGGTGTTAGAGGAGTATTAGGATTCAGCATTGTGATCATTTGATAATTACAGTCAGATGCAGAGGTTATAGTGGTTTAGTATCATTCCCCTGCTTTTATTCCTTGTACTGCTTCCTCATTTAGAGTTTTCTATCAAATTTACAAGTTATTTATAGCATATTTATTTCTGGGGTACAGGCATTAAAGCTAACTCGTTTTCTTTTTTTCTTTCAAATGGTTTGCCTCAGGACTGACAGATATCCAGCCCTCAGAAGCTAAGTTACTTGGTAAACATATTGCCGGACTTTAGAATCGTCAGATTTAACATAAAAAGTAGAATAAACAGGAAACCGAGGTCAGGAGTACAGAGAGATGGTAAACGTGAGAGAAGCCAAGGTTAAGGTCAACAAAAATCAGAATAGTCAAGGTACAAGCCAAAAGTCAATAGATAGAGGAACCAATAGATTAGTGCACTCTCTGATTAGCCAAAATGGGAACTGCCAAAACTAGTTTAAATAGCCAATATAGGACTGTGATTCGCTATTCGTGATCATATTCGGGATGCGTGTGTGACGTTACATATATGTTTGCAAAATTTTCATAGGCAGAGCTTTTATATGGCACCGCTGCGCAGAGGCCAGCATCAGTAAGCACCCCCAGGCCCCAAATTGCTGCATGGGAACACAACGGAGGTATACGTGGCCTGCGGCTGGCATGACAGTTTGTAGGTATTCTTATCTGGTATATCAAGGTATTGATTTATTTGTAAAAGCTGTGTATTTGTGCCTAGGTACACTACTGTAGGGAAGTATGCCTTATTATCTAGTCAGTATATAGGATATTTATTGGCCAATGTAATTTTTAGACTCCAATTTTAGTTGGTCCCATTTACTTCCCACTATATTATAGAATTAATTTTATGTACTCTTCTTTGAGTCCTGCTCTATTCTCCACCTTACCGTTATAATTGAAATCACTGACTTTGGTTTTGTCAAACTGACTAAAAAAAGGTTTGGGAAAATAAGCTGGACAATAAGCTATAGTTTTCCTAGTGTTTGAACTGTCCCTTTAACATTTAAAGGCTAGATTAAATTGAGAGGAATATTTTAATGGGGAAATAGCACAAACCCGCACAGCTATTTCTAAGTGACTACACAGAGAGACCATTAATTCTCTTTGTCCTTCAGTAAGACATCTGTACGGTGATGTAATTGACTCTTACCTGCTCCACCCGAATTTCATAGTCCTTGTTCACCTTCTTCCCTTTGAAATACTTGGTCCTGTTATGGAAGGAAATGGGAGGTAAATGTTAGTCTAGTTTCCTTGCCATTTTACTGTCATGGTTCTTGCCAGAAAAGTGATATACGACAGACAAGGCGGGACACCTTAGCAAACATGATGTAATCAGACAATTTTACACTATATGTCGCAAACAAGGCCAGCACAAGGCCAACAAAGAATTTATAAATGTTAGATTTTTCAGGATTTGTAAAGACACCATATATGCTTCTGGCAGGAAGATTTTTCAATATAAAGATCCTCCCAGTGCTTCCATAGTGTCCCTACTGCTATTTATGAAAGACAGTGAATAGAAGATTGAATTAAAGGTCTAAAAATACATAAAGGGATCAGCGCAGACAATATGCACTCCTACAAGGCTACCTAGAATCACTTATCCTTAGTAAGAATATGGGGATTTCATGACACCATAAAGCCATTCCATGCCACACCTGCAACCCCAAATGAGTCATAATCTAACTTTAACATGAAAGATAAACATGGGAACTTCAAAACCAAAGCTTAAATGGTTTCAAAAGGCTCTCCACCAACGTATGCATTAGTAAAGGGTTTCTAATTGGTACCTAATAAAAAGTGTTAATTTTGTCTACTAAGAATTTGTCAGATTTAGTCTACTAAAATTTTGGAGATTCAGTCGTCTAAAACAATTCAGATGACTAAAATACAACTAAAAATAAAATGGCTTTTAGTCTAAGGACTAAGACTAAAACTAAATTGAAAATTGCTGCCAAAATTAAAACTAGCAGGTAAGACACAAGTGGGAGGGAGGAGAGGAAATGAGACACATAGGGGGCTAAAGGGAATGAGACACATGGGGGGCTGGGGGAACGAGACAGATAAGGGGAGAATTAGCACATGGCATTGGGAGAAATAGACAAGTGGAGGGGCTGCGGGGAAGGAATTGGGACACATTGTGGGGCTGGGAGAATGAGACACATGGGAGATATGAGATGCATGGAGGGGCCGGGGTGAAACAAAGCGATATAGAGGGGCTCGGGAAGAAATAGGGCTGGGGGAGAGTGACACACAAATGGGGGTGTGGAGAGAAACAGACACAGATAGGAAATGGTAGGGAATGCAAAGAGCCACAGATGGGCTGGAAAATGGGCAAAAGACACAGACCAGGGAATGGGCAAAAAAGACATAGAGGGACATTAGAGGGAGACACCCAGAGGGGCTAATAAAGGGGCAAAAGAGACAGTCTTTAAACACATTAGATTTTAGTTGTGTTGACTAAAATCTACTGGAGATTTAGTCAACTACAACTAGACTAAAATAAAAACAATAAGATACGACTAAAACTAAAATGACTTTCTAGTCAAAAGACTAAGATTAAAACTAAATTGAAATATGCCGTCAAAATTAACACTGCTAATAAGGCATCTGAGTGTGAATGGGAGTCATTTCTTTAAATCCCACCTCTGGCCCACTCTGACTCACAGTCTTCTTTGAATTACTCTGTTTTGAGGAAGCTTTTCCAACCAGGGCAAAGCTCCTCCGTAAAACCAACATGCAGGCTTCATTGAAATCATGCTGACATCTGAACTTGATGACGGATTTACATTTGCTAGCATATATGCTAGCAAAATGTAATTGATAGAATTTGCAGCTATTTAAACTGTCATGCTATTGTACCTGGCATGACAGCTACCATGTAAGGCCAAGTAGCAGCCAAGTAGCAGAACTAGAAGCATAGCTGACTTGGAGAATTTCTCCACCTTGGCTAGTTTTGCCTTCAATTTGAATTTCACTTTGAATTCCCAACAATTCTGACTTTTGTGATTAACTCTACAATAGTTATATTCTCATTTCATAAAAACCATTGTATAAAGCATAATATAAGTATATATTTAAGTATAAATACATAAACTCCCTCTAAGCAAAATGTACAATATGTAATAACACTAAATGTTACAAGAACATTACATCTAATCCAGCATAAAAAGTACACAGTGTGCTCTCAGTTACACCTGCATAATTACAGTAATTTGATGTTCAGTCTGCTACTTGTTATATCTATGAATGGTTTTAAACCTGGAAATTTTCCATAAAACTGTATGTCTTCAGTTTACAAATATCCCAGCTGTAATGCAGTGAAATTTACTCCTAATCCCACTTTGTAGTAAACAATGCCATTTTAGGCGTATTGCACAGGGTATTGCATATTATTGGACAAAAAAAAGATGATCTCAGCTTCTCTTGGAGCTATTTTGGCCTACATAATGCAACATTTAACAATTCATCTTTTAGTTAATAACTCTGCTGGAGTTTATTCAGTAAACTGGGAAGGGAATTTCTAACATTTCCAGCTTGACAATATGGGTGTAAAGTTTGCAACTCCCTTGTCAATTCTAAGAGAATTTTAACTATAAAGTACCATAAAGTGTATTTACGCATCACCACACTAGGATGAAAAAATGTATCTTTTTTTTTAAAATTAGTATTTCCAATCATATATGTTTCCTTAACATTAGCTGGTAAACTTTGGATTTGGTTCCTTGTTAATTGTACATTGTTGCTGGTGGTACATTTTTCTGCAAATATATCAATATCCTGGTCCATTAATGAGTCTTTGAACATGTTACATTACATTGTGAAATGTAGATGTCAAAACCATAGATGTCAAAGTCGCGGCCCACAACTAAAATGTTTGCGGCCCGCAGGCCGCGAGGGAGTGCTGAGTGTAAACTCTCTCCCTGCCCAGTGCCCGCAGTGATGCCGGGAGACGGAATATGACAAATCCAAATTACAAAATCATTCACAATAATTAAGAGTTTAGTAAATAAACCCCCATTATATAGACATACATTATTTAAAGGAACACCATAGTCAATAGAACAGCTTTAGCTTAAAGGGACACTATAGTCACTAGAACCACTACAGCCTAATGTATTGGTTCTGGTGACTATACCCTGTTCCTGCAGGCTGTTCAATGTAATGTATTCAATGTAAACACTGCCTTTTCAGAGAGGTGCATCCTAGTTCAGTGCTGCACATTGTGCAACACTAGGATTCAGCATCTCCACACTCTGAATGGAAGCGCTAACCATTCCCTGTAATTCAGTGCATCTCTATGAAGATATGCACAATAGCCTCCCAATGTTTTCCTATAGGATAGCATTGGATTGGGTGAAATCATAAAGTTTGATGATGACAGGCATGGAGGCAGGACCAGGTGGGGTCAGACGCGATGAGACAGGTGCAGCGTAAGAGAAAGGTTGAGTAAAATCACCTTATCAGTGCAATCGGAGTGGGGACGGTCACCTAAAATGCAATTTCAGGACTATAGTGTCAGGAATACATGTGTTTTTTTTTTTTTTGTATTCCTGTTAAAGAAGCAGATGTGTTGTATAGATCATGCCCTGGCAGTCTCACTGCTCAATTCTCTGCTATAGGAGTTAAATCACTTTGTTTACGGCCCTAATCACACCTCCTTGCATGTAACATGTACAGCCTTCCTAAACACATTCTGTAAATATTAATTTAAAACTTCTCATCTCCTTCTCTGTTAATAGCTTGCTAAACCCTGCAGCAGCCTCCTGTATGCAATTAAAGTTCAATTTACAGAGCAGGAGATAAACACTTCTCAAGTAAGTTAATATCTGACTGGGAAAAAAAGGTTGTGTTTGTCACAGCCAGGTGAGTTGCAGCTAGGGCTGCATAAACAGAGACAAAATATAGTGAACTCCTAAAGGGCAGAGAATTGAGCAGTGAGACTTCAGAGGCATGATCTATGCACCAAACTTCATTAAGCTAAATTTGTTTTGGTAACAAGGCTTACAAGGCATGATATGTAATTTTGCCATACCCTCCATGATTTCCTAGACACATTATTTAAATGCTACAGGAAAATAATCAATCAAAACAATGTGGAATCCTTTATCATTGAAGGACAGTGGTTTTATGTACTATCCATCAACTTGAAGAATTGATGTGTGTCAAGGAAAAAATAATGGATCTGGCACCGCTAAGCTAAAAAAGCCCTACATTCTCAGGCATTCCACACATAAACCCTTTCATTCATAGAACAAAATGATTTTTATTTAATTATTTTTTACCTGTGCTCTATCTCAAATCCCTATTCAAATTTAAATAACTGGAGGGTTTTAGTATCAGTCCAATGGCCATAAATACATACCAAAATTCATGATGCAGTATGTAAATTTTATAGCTGTGAATCTCAAAAAAAAAAAAAAAAAAGAATCACTATTATGTTACAGAGCCTTTTTTTTATTATTCTTTATTTATGAGAGTCAAAAACAGACAAATATATATTGTAGGCAAAAGAAAAATGCATTAATTATGCAGTGCATATACAATTGCTTTATAACATTTTGCAAAAATGGATTTCAAGTTTTTCAAGTATAGACAAAAAAAAACGTAATCTCGAAGAAAATAGACAAAGTATAAAACAAACAAATGAGAAGAAAAAAAAAATATTCACGCCTGTTTGTGTTATTTCCCTGAAAGCGACAGCGTGGTTTTCTTATCTATTTTTATTAGTAATAAACTTTCGCCATGGATCCCAAGTTTTGATAAAGGATGGGGTTGAATGTATGATTTTTAAAGTTAGTTCATCCATGAGTAAATTATCGTCAATTTTTAAAATGACTTTACTAATTGGGGGAATATCAGTTTTCAACCATCCATCTGCAATAACTCTACGGGCTGCTAATGGCATGGAATATAGTAGTTTATGTGAATGCTTTGGCATCCCCTCCATAGGTCTAGAGATTAAGAATATCCAAGGCGAGAATTCAATTGATCTTTTACTAGTTTCCAAAATTGAGTAATTTTAGGACACGCCCACCACATATGTAGGTAGGTGCCCCTGAGTCCACATAATCGCCAGCAAAGATCTGATGGTGTCTACCGATTATATACAAAAAACAGGAGTAACATGCCACCTAAACAAAATTTTAAACATTTGCTGGGAGAGCGCACAAACTGATATTTTAGAAGCCGTTTCCTACATATCAGTCCACACTCCCATCTCTGGGGTTTCCCCTAAATCTGATTCCCATTGTGATACATATCCAAGTGTGCCCCACACTGATGGCCTTAGAATGCCTGCTCTTTCAAAATGTTTAAAATCATGCGGTCTCGTGCCTGGAGTGAACTACCTATTCCGCAGAACTCAGTGGTGTATCCTGGTTTTGTGCTGCCCTAGGCAGGACAAAACTCAGGCGCCCCTCTCCCCCCCCGTGTGCCACTCCCACCCAACCCTTCCCGCCGCGCTGCCTTTTAAATACACACACACACACACACATTCACTGACAGATACGCATACACTAGCTAACAGAAACACACACACTTACAGACACACACTCACTCACTAGCAGACACACACACACACTAACAGACACACACACTAAGACACACATACACACTAACAGACACACTCACAATCACTAACACACACACTAACAGGCACACACACACTAACAGACACACACACTAAGACACACATACACACTAACAGACACACTCACAATCACTAACACACACACTAACAGACACACACACACACACTAACAGACACATACACACTAACAGACACACTCACAATCACTAACACACACACACTGACACAAACACTAACAGACACACACTAACAGGCACACACACACACTCACTCACATTAACAATTTTTTTTTTATTTAACCCCCCCAGCCTCCTTACCTTTGGGAGTGGTGGGGGGGAGGCAGGGGTCCCTCTCTCCCTGGGGGTGCAGTGGCTGCTGGGCAGGCGGCTGGCGAGGGAGCACTTCCCCTGAGCACTCTGCTCTGCTCCCTCGCACGCCGCAGAGTAAGGCTGGGAGGCGGAATATGACGTCATATTCCGGCTCCCAGCCTCACTCTGCGGCGCGCGAGGGAGCAGAGCAGACCGCTCAGAGGAAGAGCTCCCTCGCCAGCCGCCAGCCGGAAGGCTAACAAGGCATTTGCCCTGGGCATTTGGGGGGCGGCTTTTTTTGCCGGCTCCTGGAAAATGCCGCCCAAGGCAAATGCCTTGTTTGCCTCGCGGCTAATACACCCCTGGTAGAACTGGGGTAAAAGGAGAGGAATTATTTGTGAGATTATACTTGGTTTTCAACTTATCCCAGCTATGTAATGAGTTTAAAATTGAGGGGCATGATGTTCCTGAGGCTATTCTAGATGGTTTGTCCAGCCAGAAATGACATGATAGTAAATCAGACATCATGAAATATGATTCAATCTCGACCCAACGATGATCTAATGGATTAGAGTGCCACATCACAACTTGAGACAATTGCGCCGCATAATAATATAAAAAAAGATTTGGGAGGCCTAAGTCTCCTTTGTTCCTGGGTCTATATAGAAGATTCCTATATAGAAGATTCCTGGCTAATCTATTAAGCTTATTTTGCCAGATAAATGTATCTATAGTTTTCTGAAGGCCATCTAAATCACTCTTTTTAAATTCTTTCTAATTTTGAGAAATAAAAATAATATTCTAGGCAAGATATTCATTTTGATACAGTGGATTCTACTAATCCATGAAATAGGCTTATCAATCCATCCTTCCAAATCTTTCTTTAATTTAATAATGAGTTTTCCAAAAACAAGTTTGTATATGAAGAGCCAATCTTAACACCCAAATATTGAAAAGATGAGGCGATAATCAGGTAAAATTTTGATCGATAAAGAATCTATCTCAGCTTGTGATATATGGAAGGGCACAGCACAGGATTTTGAATAATTTATTTTATAGCCAGTTAATGTTCCAAAGTGATCTAATAATCAAAATAAAGGAGGAAGTGACTGGACAGGGTTAGAGAAGACCAGAGGTACGATATGCACAATATAAACATAATTACACACACATAACACGGTTTTAGCATACAGTTGTTTTCCCTAAAAGAAATCCTACTGTGTATGTGAGACATGCCCTCACCCACCTCCTGCATACTCTGTCGGATTATAGCAGAGATCCAAAGAGCAGAGATACAACACGTTTTCCCACTGTCTGCTGTGCAGTTTTGGCAAAGTAAGGCAAAAACCTGAGGCTGTGGGAATGCCTTGTATCACAGTGAGGGGGATGTACAAGGAGGCTCTGTATGATGGCATTGTGTGTGCACATAAAGGGTTTGAGACAGCCGTTTAGCAGCAACTGCCTTGGAGACACAGGGCAAACAGGAAGAATGTTTAGCGCTCCAGCCCATCTTACGCGCACTCTTCCCAGGCAAAAACAGTACAAACTAGGATTCTGTAAAACTCATTTAACACAGGAGACAACTGTGGCATTCTGAGGGTCTGTTTGAAATAGTCACTTTGCATATAAACATAATATATTATTTTCTTAATGAAGATCAGATAGATTTAAAATGTGAGCATTTGTGAATCTAGCAAATTTTGTACTCGTGAGACCTTAGCAGGTCTTAAAATTAGATACAACCTGTCACGGCTGCTAGTGTGGTCCAACACGCAGAAACTATGTAAACATATACATACAAACAAAAGTACTGCCCTTTCAGTGTCACACTGGCAGTGCTCTCTCTGGAGGGAATATAATGAAAGAAAGAGATGGTGGTTTAGCTCTTGCAGGTTCAAGCATTAATGCCCACTGGGGTGGAGGAAGTCATATTTTCTGCCTTTGCTAAAGAAGGGGCAAAGTTCCAGGGAAAGAGACCAGTAGGTGGTTCATAATGAACACGATAAAAATGCTGGTTCGCTCTCAAGGGCGGTCTCATTCCCAGCAGATTTGATTGATTTGAGGGTTTTACTGTTGTGTTTTAGAGTCCATTCGAAGTTCCCTATGATTCTGGTGCCTTAGAAAGAACAAGGTAAATTTTACGTGATACACCATGTTTCTTACCCGTGTCTTTGGTAAATGATTATGTTCACTAGAATGGCATCCAGGTTTGGCTGTGGCATGCTGCTTTAAAATAAAAACGCTATTTAGATAACTTTCTGATTGTCATACCTAAGGAACACCCTGTTTTAGGTAGTTATTTTTGGGGGGAGCGGGTTCTTTTTTATTTTTAGTGTTTGCTGTATTATAGGTGAAAAACAGTGCCACAAAAAGCTTCTGAGGCCCAATATACTAGCAGTTACAAATTAAATGCATGGAAATACTGACATCTAGTGTTAAGATTCGTAAATCAGACCATCAGTCTGTACACAGTACTTTATTAATTAATTCCTTAAAATAGCAAAGCATATTATGCTATTAATTATAAACCAAAACACGTTTGGTTTTAAAAGGTTTCAAAAGTGTAAAATGTAGTCTACATACAGTTTTAGTGAACTTTGTATTTTAGGGAGCAGATTCTATACACTGCAGTAAAGCCTCATTTAATTGTTTATAGGGCCAGGTTCAGCCTGATACTGTACCTTCATGTCCAGACTGGGAACTAAAAGCAGAATTGGAAAATTCTATATTTCGTAGCACCAGCATAGAGTGCAGATATAGAGGTGGAAAAGATAACTCCAATTTAGCTCTGCCAGTCTGACTAACAGTTTGGGAGCTGTTTCTGCTTTAATTATAAAAGTGAAAATTTCTATTGAAATTGGTAGTTTTATAAACTTTAACCAATGTGACAGGCTCCAGACACATAAAGCACTACACCCAGGGCTGAACTAACAACTCATAGTGCCATCGTGCAATGGTGGGTCAGGGCCCCTCTCCTGACGCATGCTTTTTTTTTTTTTTTGTCTACTGCTACTCTTCTTCCTCCTGTGGCTCTCACACAGATATTATGTGCATGCTGCACAGCACCCTGATTGGCTGTGAGAGCCACACAGTTGTGAGTCCTACCTGCAGGGCCTTCAAACAGGGGCAGGTTTGCTAACACTGTTTTTGAATGGAGTAACCCTTATTGGCATGACCCCTATTAAAATAAAGCAAATGTAATTACATGCTTCCTATGTGTTTGATGGTGACCTCACAAGAAGAGTCCCACACATGTGCAACCATACAAGTAGCCTCCAAAAACATGTTTGTAGGCTACTTGTGGGTTGCGTATGTGGAATGCTGCTTGTGATGTTGTGTTTCTCCCGTATTTCAAAGTATTGTGTTATCACAGTTTTTCTTCTTTTATCTATTAATAAGTTGGTGAGTGTTATAATTGTGTGTATGTGTAAGAAGGGTGCATGCAGTATTGCAATGGTGGGGATGCTGCTGGTGATTAGGGTTGACACCTTTCCTAGAAAAAAATACCGGCCACACTAATCTGCACAAGTCATTATATATGCGTGACATCACAAGGACTAACAAGAGAAACCATTTATTACATTTGGAAGAGAAAAATTTTATTAGAAAACTGCTTACAGCTGGTTTTACTGTGTAGCGGGATAGTACTGCAGTTTGGGTAGACTGGACAACAAAACCTGCTCTCCTGAATGCTCATTTAACGGACCCAGTGGCATTCTACAATTGTACCCTGAGTGATGGACTGAAAGGTAAATGAGAGAAGCTAGAGAAGGAGTGGCAACGTATTCCACGCTAGCAGAAAGTGACGGGGTATGTTTCGCCAGTGCCATGTGCAGCAGTCAACCGCAGAGGAGAGCCTGTCACCATCATACTAGCCTTGTTTTTCTGATATTTACTGCGGACGACTGAATTCATGTACTGCAAGGGTTCTATGGAGACTGTAAACATGTTACTGGTACCCCTGGTATCCTGAGTCTCAATAGTGGAGGAGCACTTTTATTAGCAAAAAGAAAAAAAATGGTTTTATATTACTGATAATGTTTTACTTAATGCAGTAGTAAAACATTTGTTTCTGACAGTATCACTTTTGCATCACTGTTGCAGATTGTTTACGGACAGGCAGCATACCATTATGTTGCATTAATGAACACAGACAACCTACACAAATATACTCCTGCATTCATGCACAGAGACACACCACAAATATACCCCTGCATTCATGACACACAATAGACTTCTATTCAATTTCACACACTCACTCTGTGCTGAGATCATGAATTGAATAAAAAACAAAAGAAAAAATCTATATGTATTTAGTATCATGCTCTTTAACTCACTGCAATTAGCTTTCATTTCAAGCACTGGACATTATGTAAAAAAACACACACATCTAAATTAATGCATTTTGTTCACAGACCCACCTTTAACTTCATTTTCATTCCCCACATTGCCTCACTAAGTCTATTTTATATCCAGAATCTCTTCCCTACTCAGACCCACTAACATTCCTCTCAGACCCAGCCTTTTCTAGTTCCTTACCTCCTCAGAACTCCTTCCTTTCTTTGTTAAAGTTCAATCTGTCTCCTTCTCCCTCTCCATGTGCAGCTTCCCTCCTTCCCCGGCATGTCTGACCTGAAGGAAGGCGGAGCCAGGCAGTACAGCCGCTCAGTACAGGGCAGGAGGATTCTCTGTGACAGTAAACAAACACAGGTACTTACCTGGCAAGGATACCTACCAGTTCAGGGTGCACTTCACCTGCGCGAGCAGGGAGCAATCAGACGCTTCCATTTGGAAGCGTCATTGCTCCCTTGTGCGCATGTGCAGCTTTGCCGCACATGCACACATACTTCATAGGGCGGCATTCATGCCGCCATCTGAAGTCCCGAGTGCACTACCGCTCATGTGTGCGCAGCCGCGAGCTGAGCTGACTGACAGCTCAGCTTGCGGTCTTTGCCCGCCCCCTCTCCTCTGCTGACAGGCAGGAGAGAGAAGGCGCGCACACAGTGCCTTCTCTCTCCTGCTCACGTCAGACGTCTTTTAATACGTCTGACGTGTACAAGGCCTTTTTAGGGCCCTACATGATAGGAAGTCCCTCTGGAAGTATTCCTATCAATCAATGTATACTTTACATTCTTATGTTCTTTACATAGTTGAATGTGCTGACAACAAAATCACACAAAAATTTTAAAATGGAAATCAAATTTTTCAACCCATGGAGGTCTGGATTTGAAGTCACACTCAAAATTAAAGTGGAAAAAACACACTACAGGCTGATCCAACTTTGATGTAATGTCCTTAAAACAAATCAAAATGAGGCTCAGTAGTATGTGTGGCCTCCACGTGCCTGTACCACGTGCCTGTATGACCTCCCTACAACTCCTGTGCATGCTCCTGATGAGGTGGCAGATGGTCTCCTGATGGATCTCCTCCCAGACCTGGACAGTCCCATCTGCTAACTCCTGGACAGTCTGTGGTGCAATGTGACGTTGGTGGATGGAGCGAGACATGATGTCCCAGATGTGCTCAATTGGATTCAGGTCTGGGGAACGGGCGGGCCAGTCCATAGCATCAATGTCTTCGTCTTGCAGGAACTGCTGACACACTCCAGCCACATGAGGTCTAGCATTGACTTGCATTAGGAGGAACCGCACCAGGGCCAACCGCACCAGCATATGGTCTCACAAGGGGACTGAGGATCTCATCTTGGTACCTCATGACAGTCAGGCTACCTCTGGTGAGCACATGGAGGGCTAGGCGTCCCCCCAAAAAAATGCCACCTCACACCATTACTGACCCACTGCCAAACCGGTCATGCTGGAGGATGTTGCAGGCAGCAGAACGTTCTCCACAGCGTCTCCAGACTCTGTCACGTCTGTCACATGTGCTCAGTGTGAACCTGCTTTCATCTGTGAAGAGCAGTGCTCCTCCTGTTCCTCCTTGCACAAAGGCGGAGGTAGCGGTCCTGCTGCTGGGTTATTGCCCTCCTACGGTTTCATGAATAAAGGGAACACTTAAACAACACAATGTAACTCCAAGTCAATCACACTTCTGTGAAATCAAACTGTCCACTTAGGAAGCAACGCTGAGTGACAATCAATTTCACATGCTGTTGTAAAAATGGGATAGACAACATGTGGAAATTATAGGCAATTAGCAAGACACCCCCAATAAAGGAGTGGTTCTGCAGACCACAGACCATTCTAGGCACCCAGACCACTTCAGCTTAATGAAGTGGTCTGGTTGCCAGGTCCCTCTAGGATTAACCCATTTTTTTATAAACATAGCAGTTTCAGAGAAACAGCCGCTACAGTGAGAAGACGCCAGCGCCCATAGTAAAGCATTGTGAATGCTTTCATATGAGACTGGCTGAATGCGCGCGCAGCTCCTGCCGCGCATGCGTATTCAGCCGAAGAGGAGGAGAAGAGGAGGAGAGCTCCCCGCCCGGCGCTGGAAAAAAGGTAAGATTTAACCCTTTCCTCGCCATCCAGCCCGGCGGGAGGGGGACCCTGAGGGTGGGGGCACCCTCTGGGCACTATAGTGCCAGGAAAACAAGTATTTTTTTTTGTTTAACATTGTATTAACTATATATATATTTATGAGTGCTCATTCAAGAGTGAAATGAAAAGAGAAACAGAGGGGTTTAGGTCTAAACAGCGACTGTCCCTCCTAAATAGGGACACGTGTGACCTAAGCTTATAATTTACTCTTTTAAGTACTCCTAAAATGCATAAACTGCTTTTCTACAGTTACATTTTATGCTTATTTGCATTAATGAACTCTACCTCCAGCAGATAATAATGAACCCAATCAAATCCCTTCCTGGAGTTCATTATCTCTAAATTAACCTATTCTCATTTTTGAGATTTCTATTTAGCCCTAAATGTCCATTTTATGCACTATAAGTGTTGTTAATAGAGCACCCTGAGCCCACTCTCCAGTCTAAAAGTGGATTATGCTGGCAGTGATTTGTAAAAATTGCTGCTGCTATATGAGAGCCCACCAGAATTGTCGCTCAAGCATCCTGCATTTACAATAGGGAATGCGTTCCACAGCTCTATCAATTAGGAAAACACAGCCTAGTTTACTAAATGGTGAACTACGTTACATATAGACACAGTATGGCCACTTTTACTTTGTACTATACATTTTAAAGGGATACTATAGATTTAAAACTACTTTGACTTAATAAAGCAGTTTGCATGTATAGATCATGCCCCTGCAGTCTCACTGCTCAATTTTCTGCCATTTAGGAGTCTGCATGAAAAATACATGTTTCATTTTGTTTCATTTTCAATCAGACATTAACTTATTTGAGAAGTTTTTATCTCCTGCTCTGAACTTTAATCACATACAAGAGGCTCCTGCAGGGTTTAGGAGGTTACTAAAACAGTAGGAGATAAGAAATTCCAAACTAAACCAACTGTGCAATCAAGGAAGTTTAAACATTATATGTATCTAAACAGGTAGTGTATAGGAAGGCTGTGAGTCTCATGCAGATAACTGTGACAATGGCTGTATAAATAAAGTGATTTAACTCCTAAATGACAGATAATTGAGCAGTGAGACTGCAGGGGCATGATCTAACCAAAACTGCTTCATTAACTAAAGTTGTTTGGTGCTTTTAAGTACAATATCATCCATAATCAGAGCTTAGACATATTGCATGGAAAGTGTGAAATAAAAGTTTACATGCACATTTTTGAAAATAACAATAATTGTAAATATTCACTTAAATGATCATTCTTACCAGTCTGTGTGTGCATCATCAATCACTAGAAGTATCTTGGGCTTTAGTACCACAGGAAGCGCTGGAGGACCTGTCTGTTCAACTAGTCCCGCCGCTGCTTGGGTGGTCTGCTTGACTGCATTGGTGATGGAACTGAAGAGACTAGACCCTGTGGAGGGTGCAGATGCTGGAACTGGCGGCGGCGGCTGCTGTTGCTTTCTTTCCAAGGCTGGTGAAACTGGGGAGCTTGTGGAGTTGTCTGGCCTTTGAAGGTCCATCATGTAGCCATTGGGTAGGTTAGCCACAAAGCTGCTATCTGAAAGGCGTCTGCGGAGGAAATTCATGGTTCAGCACAGGGAGCTGCAGCAAATAGGTTTCTTTTTGATAGGGAGTTAAAGATGTAAATTCAGTTTTCCTTGAGGGTCCCCTGCTACTTGACTTTACCTTTAGTTCTGTTTAAGAAAATAAGCAATGCAAAATCCCATAAATAAGAGAAATGAATGAATGATAAATTGTTTCTTGTTGTACATGTAAATAATTCACAACCTCTAAGCAACCTGACGACTACAGCTCACTGAGTGGGTGAATGTGCTGGAGACGGGTTAGAAGCTAATAGAGCTCACTTAACAATAATCTGCAATATACAAATAACTGTCAAATTAAAGCTTAACCTACCATATTGGCAAATGCATTGCAGCAAAAACATGTAGTCAAACACTGAGTATATCAGTGGAGATAGATGTTGAGTGTTTACAAAGCTAACAAATGTTGTGTAAGTATATGTCCTGATGAGAACATTGCACATTTCACCTCCAGAATTAAACACATTCTTCCATAATTATAACGTTGGAGGGTATGGTAGAAGGAGCTCTGTGGGAAATGTTCCAATAATATTTATGGTAGAATTATTGAAGTGTTTAGCATTGGGTAATTAGCCAGATACACACTTCTGTCTCCTGGCCCATTACCTTTAATAAAACACACACATTTTCACGTAACACTTTGTTAGTTTATTTGCTTGTTTCACACTTCCACTTTTGTGTACTTTTGTGTACTTTTGTGTTTCTTTTTACTTTATTCAATTATGATTTAAATAAAGCAATTTTCTTATTACCATAAAATAGTGATATTCTACTGGTAATCATATTTTTGAAGCCTAGCCGTCTGGTGGGATTTGCCTTCATTAGTTTCTATGGAAGGAGCTCCCCTGTCCTTCTCTACATCCTGTAAGTTAAATCTATGTCAATATGTGATCATCTCAATAAAACATTGACTGTATGGGTTTACTAATTGAGTCTAATCTGACTAAAAAAAACCTTAAAACATATGCCATTATCTGCCGGTCTCTCCATTATCTACTCTATAGTTATGGTTATGAGAAAAAAAACACGGTTCTAATCTGTTTCCAACACCGAGGAACCTGATAAATGTTTCATATGTATATAGCTTGCCATTATTTTCCTTGATGGAAAATCTGGAATGACAACTGCCAGTAGAAAATCTGGAATGGCCACCGCCTTCTCTGCTCTCCACAAACTCCTACACTGCACTAAGACCAGTGGTGTAGGGAGACGCTCATTGATTCAGAGCACTCCGACACTCTGTCCCGGTTTATGTTACTATGGTAATTTATCGTTCCATAGCTTTTTTTTTTTTTAATTTTCTCAATGTGGTGATTTCTATCAGTTGCAGTAGGCATTACCCTATGGGGAATGTTCAGTCTCACCATGCAGCGCATGGAGATGCTGAATGTTGGTCCAGCAGAGATTACAGAACCATATTCTGAAAGCACCTACATGGCTCTCCGAGTGACTGCCGCTAGAGATTGCGTTAAGCAGCAAAAGTGTAAACACTAACTTTTCTCAGGAAAGGGTACATTAGGTTCCCCATCTGCATGACGTCAGAAGGGACCGAGTCAGGAAAGTGTAAAAAAGGATTTTAACCCTTTAATCACCGGGTGAGGGGGCCGCGGAGGCAGAAGGACACTAAAGCATTAGGAATACAGTTTTGTATTCCTAACGCTATGTTGTTCCTTTAAGATGCCAGTGAGTTTCATAGTAATAATAACAACGTATTTAACCAGGAAAGGTACATTCAGATTACTCTGGTTTCCAAGTACACCCTGGGGATGTAAAAAAACTTCCTTTTGGTGATCAAAACATTGTCTACCATTGTTTACCATCTTGACTACAGAAATTGCTTACTAGAAGTGAAGGTATGCTGGACTACATTTTGTTTTCTTTATGTTGTAAAGGGAACTAAACAGTTATTTATCTGACCTTTATGTATGGCATATCAGTGTACCCATACATTTGTATATATACAGTCTATATTGTTATTCTAAATAAACAGCATTTGTAAAACAAAATAATAAAGCAAACTTAGATGCCAAGAGTCCAGCCCTGGCACTACTGCTGTTATCAGTCTGCTCATATTGTGATATGTGGTGAAGCTGGCGTGTTATATGGGCACTCTTTCAGCACATGTCACACACCCCCTCACACTAATTTTCACAATGTTTAGCCAGCACTGTTATTCAATAAAGTCAAAACACTTCAGTCCAGTGCTGGAAATAAATGATAGACTGATTCTAGATTTAAAAGTAATCATTCTACACCAGCGATGGTGCACCTATTGCACGCGTGCCACAGTTGGCACGCCGAGCCCTCTCTGTGGGCACGCAGCCATAGGTCAGCAGGGGGAGCCAGATTTTAGTGACCCGATAGGAGGAAGCGCATAGAGCTCCCTCCTGCCAGTCACTCTTAGTAGCGTGGCCGGGTGGCGCTGACCGCGGTACAGGAACTTTCGTTTCCTGTACCCAGCCGGACTGAAAGGAAGTGCTCACTGAGAGAAAAATAATAGGACGGCAGCGGGGACGGGGCTTACCGATTGTCGGGGGCAAAAAATATAACCGCATTAACAACCATTTTGGTAACATCTTAATCTGGTAACGATACTGAGACATAGATAAAAGTCGAAATAAATACAGAGAATGCTACATTTTAAAATCAAAATGGTGGAGTGGTGAAGGTGAGGATAATGGCTGCAGAGGCGGAGCTAAAAGCTCCCAGAAGCTCCTTGTACCTGCTGCACAGGAAGGGGGAAGCAGGAAGGAGACCCTGCTTCCCCAACAATTAGGCTACAGCTGCACCGCCTCCACTCCTCTCTTCCAGCCATAATGGAAAGAGGTAAGTGTGTGTGTGACTGTCTGCCTGTGTGTTTGTGACTGCCTGCGTGTGTGTGACTGTCTGCTAAGAGCTCCCAGAAGCTCCTTGTAACTGCTGTACAGGAAGGGGGAAGCAGGAAGGAGACCCTGCTTCCCCAACAACTAGGCTACAGCTGCACTGCCTCCACTCATCTCTTCCAGCTATAATGGAAAGAGGTAAGTGTGTGTGTGACTGTCTGCCTGTGTGTTTGTGACTGCCTGCGTGTGTGTGACTGTCTGCTAAGAGCTCCCAGAAGCTCCTTGTAACTGCTGTACAGGAAGGGGGAAGCAGGAAGGAGACCCTGCTTCCCCAACAACTAGGCTACAGCTGCACTGCCTCCACTCATCTCTTCCAGCTATAATGGAAAGAGGTAAGTGTGTGTGTGTGATTGTCTGCCTGTGTGTTTGTGACTGCCTGCGTGTGTGTGACTGTCTGTTTGCCTGTGTATGACTGTGTGTGTGACTGTTGTCCTGTGTGTGACTTAACTGTGTGTGTGGCTGTAGCTGTGCCTTTGTATGTGCCTGTATGTGTGACTGCAACTGTGTGTGTGACTGCAGGGCCACCATCAGGGGGTGACAACCATGACGGTTGTCACAGGCCCGGTGGCCCTGGGGGGCCTGGCCGCCCGGGTCCCATGTGGAGCGACGAAACTGCCGCAGGTGCATCTGCACTGGGGCCCAACAGGTGGCGCGATTGTAATTGCGCGACCAGGCCCCTTTTAAAAAAAAAAATGCAGCTGCACCGCAAGTGCTGCTGGGAGGAAGTGACAGCTGGTCACTTCCTCCTAGCTTACTCCACGCGGGGGGAGAGAGACAGCCGAGGAGAGGACAGGACAGGAGAGGAGAAGACACCAGAGGCATCCGCTCCCATCCTCCCCAGCCACCCTCCTGCAACTTAAAGGTAAGAGGAGGGTGGCTGATAAATGAGGTGTGTGTGTGTATATGTATGTGTCTGCATGTATGTATGTATGTATGTCTGTTTGTCAGTATGTCTGTGTGTGTCAGTATGTATGTGTGTCTGTGTGTATGTAAGTATGTATTTGTGTATGTCAGTATGTATATATGTCTGTATGTGTGTCAGTATGTATGTGTGTATGTATGTCAGTATGCAATTATGTCTGTTTGTGTTTATGTCTGTATGTATGTGTGTATGTGTCTATCTGTATGTGTATGTCAGTATCTATTTATGTATATATGTCTGTATGTCTGTGTGTGTGTGTGTGTGTGTGTATGTCAGTATGTATATATGTCAGTATGCATGTATGTCTGTGTGTGTGTGTGTATGTCAGTATGTCTGTATGTATCTGTGTATGCATATATCTATGTGTGTGTGTGTGTATGTCTGTATGTATATCAGTATGTATGCCATTATGTATGTATGTCTGTTAGTATGTATGTGTGTGTATGTCAGTATGTGTGTGTGTGTATCTGTATCTCCTTATGTATGTGTCTATATGTGTGTATGTCTGTTTCAGTATTTGTGTCTGTTAGTATGTGTGTACTTTCTGTGTGTGTGTCTGTGTCCTTTTGTGTCTGTGTGTGTGTGTGTAGTCCTGTGGGCGGGATTTGGAGGCGAGTCTTGGAGGCAGGCACCCAGACCTGTGGGGCCCCACAATTTCTGATGGCGGCCCTGTGTGACTGTCTGCCTTTGACTGTGTGTGTGCCTATCTGCGTGCGTGATTGTCTGCCTGCCTGTAACTGAGAGTGTGTGTGACTGCTTGTAACTGAGAGTGTGTGTGACTGTGTGCCTGTAACTGTGTGTGTGACTGTCTGCCTGTTACTGAGCGTATGATTGACTGCCTGTACCTGTGTGTGTGACTATCTGCCTGTAATTAAGTGTGTGTGTGTGTAACTGTCTGCATGTATCTGTGTGTCACAGTATTATGTGACATACTTAGTCTGACCCTCTGTAATTCCGCAGAGGCAGTCTGGCACCTCTGCTGGTTGCAGACCACAAGTAGCTGTCTTCCGAGCTCTGGCCAATCAGTGCGTTACCAGAGGAAAGCTCTGACACTGTAAATGCCTGAGCTAACGAGACAGTTACTCATAGTCTGCACTTGGTGAAGGGGCAGACCAGATTCCCAGCACACTGGAACACCAGAGATCTGCATTGCCCCCTCACTGCAAGGTAACAGGAAAGGGGGAATGAATATTTGTTTTTAAATCATTATTCATTTAATAAATCCCCTATACAAACCTACACACACACACATACACACACATATATGGATGAAGGTGTATGACCGGGGAAGACAGGGACGCCATGAAGACTTTTCGCACAGGGCGCCTAATGTCCTAAGGCCGGCCCTGCTAACATGAGTGGCAGGGCAGCCAGTTTGAAGTGGCCTGGATAATTACCAGCTAAGTAACAACAAAATAGGAAAGTGAGGAGGAGGAAAGGCACATGCAACCTGGACAGTCTCTACACTCAGTTTAATTCCAAGTACACAATATAGAAACATTTAACTTTGTGCTATGTGCTCAGTTTTATCTGAGGAATTAATTGCCCTAATTACCACACAAGAAATCATAATAATAACACAGTAGTTTACAGAGGTAGAAAGGTGGATCGCAAAAAACAAACTCTTCCTGAACACTGACAAAACTGTTACAATGATCTTTGGAACAGTACCTAAATTACACAAATTACACAATTCCCACCTATCCATCAAAACAAATTAAAATGGCACACTGACCGCAGTCCACTCTATCAAATACTTGGCTATGATATTAGACCCAAAGCTATCTTTTAGCCTGCACATAGAAAAGCTTGCATCTAAACTTTATCCCAAACTAGGTGCCCTGTACAGAAACAAAGCCTGCCTAAGCCCTACAGTAAAGGAAAAGATTGTACAGCAAATGCTGATGCCAATCATTGATTATGGGTATGTAGTATATGCATCTGCATCGCAATCCCACATTAATAAACTCAACACATTGTATAACTCGTTCTGCCGATTTGTGCTACAATGTAATTACAGGACCCACCATTGTGACATGCTAAAAGAACTAAACTGGCTGTCGCTGGAATCCAGACGCACCCTTCATCTTTCCAGCCTTGTGTTTAAGAGCTTTTCTGGAAACTCCCACCCTACCTGAACAAAATGCTTTCCCCAGCTGTTCCCACTTCCTATAAGCTCCGATCCAGTACCAACACTTTACTTAGTCTACCTCAATACAAAAAGAAAACGGCCCGATCCTCCTTCTCCTACAGAGCACCGCAATTGTGGAACGACCTCCCGCACAATTTAAAATCATCCCTAAGCCTAAAGTCCTTTAAGAGATCCCTCTCTACATACCTCAAAACAGAATGCACCTGTCATGGTTGATTATATATTTCCTACCTGTTCTATGTTAAATTTTGTATTTATTGTGTATTAATATTGTTTTTGTATTTTATTGTACCATAATGTAACAATGCAATGATTTGTGGACCCAGGACATACTTGAAAACGAGAGAAATCTCAATGTATCTTTACTGGTAAAATATTTTATAAATAAATAATCAGAAAAGTTTTCAAGTACATCCTGGGGATGTTACCTTAGCCCAGGTGTTGTTACTATTACCCATTTTATCTACCTCAGAAGGATGAAGGGCTCAACCCTGCAAGGATTTGAACCTGTGACCTAAGAGTTGAACAGAATCTGCTGATGATGCATTAGCACACTGAGCTATCTCACTGGAAGTCATCCCAAAGTTGCCACAGCGAAAATTCCCAGGTCCAGACGGTTATACAATAAGCTACTACAAAACATTGCCAGCAATGCTGATAACTTATATGTGCAATCTTCTCAACAGCTACATGACATCTGAAGTAGTACCGCAAGAAATGCTTAGCATAGTTAACCAAAGAAAACCTGGGAAAACACCAACTAAATCCGCTAACCTGTGACTAATCTCTCTCTCATTAGCAATCTGCAAATCTTGTGGGCCCAGGTCAAATAAGATTTGGGCAGATGAAAGACATGATATATCATGGACAGGCAGATGTGCAGCTCTGAATATGCCTTTCCCAATCACAAGTCTGAACAAAATCCAGAGGTCACTCAACTCCTTCATTAATTTATTTAAAAGATCCAGGGTAGCGGTGACAGTGTTATACAGGCATAAAATTATACAAGATTTGGGTGTCTCGAACCTAGTGGCATGTTATAAAAAAATGACATTATCACAAGCCATACTCTTCTGCTCAGCCCCATGTAACAGTAGTTGGGCAGATATAGAATAGGCAGTAATTTCCCATAAAAGAATAGCACATATGCTGTGGGTCCCCTCCTTAGCATCCGATATCCCCAAGCTACAGAGCACCACCATGCAGTCTATAAAGATATGGCACAAATTTGTTAGAAGCATTGATGCCCTGACTGAGCATTCACTTCCTAACTGGCATTTCTGGAGTAGTTCCAATACAGACCCTGGAACATTAGCCTAAGTGTCTGGAACTCGAAGGGATTAACCGCGTGTAATATCTATTTGTGGGCAAATCAATAGCATCCTTTGTTTAAGTGAAACATTTACCTTCAAACTAAGCAATGTATACAAATAAATGCAAATCAAATACTTACTTTCAGACCAGGAAAAGGAAAGGGAAGTAGGAGGCAGATTTAAGGATTAAATTCTCTAAATGAGGATGGAAACATATCCTCAGCAATAACAAAGGGTGCACCTGGTGTACTAATCATTACAAACTACTTGGGAAAATACTGCTAAGATGACATTTGATTCCACTAAAGCTCTAACACATGTACCCGGGCACCTCAAAAGATTGCTATAGAGCCTGTGGGGAGGCTTTGGTGGGGTTGCCCCAGAATGGCCAGAAATATTTAAATATATAATCAGAAAGTATTGATGTGCAAAAAATATAACCGCATTAACAACCATTTTGGTAACATTTGGTAACATCTTAATCTGGTAACGATACTGAGACATAAATAAAAGTCGAAATAAATACAGAGAATGCTACATTTTAAAATCAAAATCTATGCTTAATCCAGTAGGTGTCAGTGTTTCCAAAAAATAATTCTAAGTAATTTCTTCCTGGTTAATCTTTTTAATAAAATTTCCTCCTCTCTAACTTTTGTTAACCTTTTTAATTTTTTTTAATACCCACTAATGTTAGTCCACTCGGGTCCTCATTGTGAAACATTTTTTACAAAAAACACTGTGGTTCTCCACACCTTTCTTAATATATATATATATATATATATATATATATATATATACTCAGATGTTCTTTTATACTGAGGTCTAATAGTTCTACTGACATACTGTAAATGACAAGGGCATTCTAATAAATAAATCACATTAATTGTATAACATTTTATCAGGTCCTTGATCATGTATCCTTTTGGGTCACCATAGATCTAAAATTAACAATTCTCCTATCATTATTAACTTTTATAGTTTTACTTCTTCATAATGTTCTTAGCGTGTAGAACTGTAAAAGTTAATAATGGATGGACACAACTAATGATACATTCTCTGAGAGTATTTGAAGTAGTGTAGGGACATTTAGATCCTACTGATGTACATAGAATGGGGAAATGGAAAGAGACGAGAGACCAGGTGTGTGGGAGCCTTTACATAAACACAACCCCAACTCTGAGACATTGTTACTGCCAGTTGTCCTATACAGTCATCACACTGTCCGACCAGACATATATGTTATCTTTATGATTCTTAATCAGATGTTGTTTATAAAATATTCCTACCATGTCTGTGTGTGAGGCTGGACAGGAAGAGATCACTTCCTATCTGCCCACTAGTAACCTCTCACACAGGAAACGCCTTGCAAGAGGAGCAGTGGAATATCTCAGTGATGCACACTGTATTACAGCTCCTGCAGTTAGAATATCAATCTGATTGGTCTACGGAAGACATAGGAGGGTGAGTACTTTGTGAAAAAACCCTTCAAACTCCATCATTCAAAGTCTAAACATAAAAATTAAAAGTTTACTCCTATGTTTAACTCCTCTTGAAACTAAACACCTCAAGTACACCAATAATTATTAAGCCAACTCTAACCCTAAACTTAATAGTCTGATACAGCCCTTATACTGCAACTTTAACTCTTCTCAAGCTTGTAATCTTTTTAACACTAAATACCATATGTGATATAACTGTGACATTACCCCCTCTCTAACCTTAAAAACCTCCCTTTACCCGGCACACTTCAAACATTTCTAAACATACACGGGTTTACACAGCTACATACACTCACTGATTCAAAAAACAATACAATGCATGGAAAATATTTTATGCAGTTGTCAAATATGAATAGGATTTTGGCCTACAATGTCCAATTAATAAATTCATTATATTTACTTTATCTACCTTATTTTGGGGTTGGGCGCAGGAGGATTTTAGCACCTGACATGTAAGCCCAGCCCTGCCCTTAGCCAATCACTGCCATCCCTTGCTGATCAGGCTAATGAGGGATCATTAGTCCAAGCAAGATGGGCATCTGGGGACTCTCAATAAGCATTTAAAAATTTAAAATGGTTTAACACTGAATGGAAGGTCGATGTCATTGGACTCCAGGCACTATAACCAATTCAATGAGGGGAAGCAGTTACAGTGCCTACATTGTTCTTTTACACCATCTACCTACCTATTTATCTATCTAGCTGACATTATCTATTTATATATATATATATTTTTTTTTTTTTCTTTTTTTGTTAAAGGAAAATTCCACTGCCCAAATATAAAACAAAAAAACATTGAGGGTATATCTAAAAACAGTTTGCACAAGTTGATCCATTAAAGGATCACTATAGGTTCAGGAACACAAACATGTATTCCTGACCCTATAGTGTTAAAACCACCATCTAGCCCCTCCGGATCCCTCATGCCTCCATAAATATAGCCTGAAGCTGTAACTCTGCATGCAGTTTGCCTCAGAAAAACAAGCAATCTGCTGACATCATCAGACGTGGTAGCCTGATCCAATCACAATGCTTCTCCATAGGATTGGCTGAGACTGACAAGGAGGCAGATCGGGGCAGAGCCAGTACAATTCAAACACAGCCCTGGCCAATCAGCATCTCCTCATAGAGATGAATTGAATCAATGAATCTCTATGAGGAAAGTTCAGTGTCTGCATACAGAGGGAGGAGATACTAAATGTTTGGATGCATTTTAGGCAGCCATGACCCGGGAAGGATCTCTAACAGCCATCTGAGGAGTGGTCAGTGAAGTTATCACTAGGCTGTAATGTAAACACTGCATTTTCTCTGAAAAGACAGTGTTTACAGTAAAAAGGCTGAAGGTAATGATTCTACTCACCAGAACAAATTCAATAAGCTTTGGTTGTTGTGGTGGTGACTCTAGTGTCCCTCTAACAGCAGCCATAGTAACCTCTTCTCACTGTTTCCCCGCCCAGTCTTTCTGTGGCTGTCCAATCACAGACTTCCCAATGCAGCTCAATGAGAAGTCTTTACAAGTCAGGTGCTCTGGGTAATTGCTTTCGCTTAAGTTTAGCTCCACTGAGCTCAACTACAGTAACAGAACCAAATTAATTTATAAAAACAAAATGTAAACAAAATTTTTTTTTAAAGGGGGACACACTTTTAACTTGTAAAGTACTTTGGCAACCTAAAGTGTGTTAGATATTTGGAGTTTTTCCTTAAAGGAACCTTCCAAACACCTAGAACACTACAATCATAACCCAGTTATATTGTCACACCATTGAAAAACTTGGAATGTTCCTTTAAGCACCTGCATACATTATGAGTTTCCTTTGGATATTATTTTATATACAAGTTGTGCATGTGGTGTCCACGCGCACAAGTTGGAGAAAATTGAAATATGCAGCCTGGATCCAGTTCTTGATAAACACTGCTTACAGGGTTCACTGAAATGAGAATAATGAATAACCCAGTGAGCTTGCTCTCCGGCTCAAGCATTGGTTAAAAGCAACCTGACATTACACAACTGAATAAATCCCTTATATCTTGCGTTAACTTTTTTGTTTTTCTTGTGATGCTCCATTTTCTTTTAAATTATGTTTTAATTATGTTTTAAAGATTTATAAATTTACATCACAATCAATCTGAACCCTGGCGGAATCCGAACACACATTACATAAGATGAGGAGAAGCTGAAATATTGCTGCTATTTTTCCTCCTCCGCTATGCTGTCTCTATGCTGACTGCCAAGTGCACATGCTGTATTGTTTTTGCTTTTCGTTTAGAATTACATAATGTATGTATTTGTATATTACATTTATTTTTCAGACCTTATACACATGAAATGATTAAATATTGAGCATTTGTCAAGAAGGCATCAAAAATCGTGGAAAGTGACAATTCTCTTTTCAATTCACTACGGGATTTGGTCCCACAGATATAAGCATGATGAGAACATTGAGAAATGTATGAGAATCCGAATTGTGAATTGTCAG